TTTTTTTTTAATAGGATTGATTTTTAGTAGTGTAAATTTTAAATGGTTTCCAATGAGAGTTTATGATTAAAATATTGTAGTCATTTTAATGATTTTAGTATATTAGCCATTATTGTAAGGCGCCTTGAGATAGAATGTAAGGCGCCATATAAGAATCTTATTATTATTATTATTATTATTATTTAGCTGGCATATAAGTTGCGTTATATGGCAAATATGGCTTTCAAATAAAAACAATTTGGTGTCAACCGAAGAAAATTAACATTTATAATGTAACTAAGAACCGCCTTTTCCTGAGGTCAAAGTTGATCCATGTGGTATTTGGGCGTCAAGTTCATTCATTTGTAATCGAGAGAATAAGATGGTTTTAGGAGAGGAATGCTAAAGCTATAAAAACTTAGAGGCCCGCTTACAGATTTTGGCAAATGTACAGTCCAGTGTTGGCGTCAACACAGCCACACTCGTAGTCACAGCCGTCCTTCCAGGCCTGCCCGTGGTAGTAGTTCTTGTTCTTGTACACACACACGCCTGGTGAAAAAATTACAAATAAACATAAAAAAATTTAACTCATAACAGCAGATGAGACGAAGTTTCTGCACACAGGAAAAAGCGAATAATTTCACAGTTTTAACTGCACTAAAAAACTTGAAAGTAATATGGTCGAAATACGCACAGCTGTAGTGATGTGAGGCATGGAAACTGACATTTTATGCCGGTGAATACAAAAGCCAATATAGCAAAGTTTGAAAACATTTTAAATAACACCAGAAACCCAGCAAAGCAAGCGCCTGTGTTTTCTGAGTACCAGAAAAGAGGCAACCAATTCATATTACATAAGGTAACAAGCACGTGATATAAAAGAACAAGATTCCCATATCCTGATGGTACTTACGGACTCCGTTGCTGTCCACGCCGCTGCCCTGCCCGTTGAAGCTGGTGGAGCCTGCGGCCCAGTTACACACTGGCTTCAAGCAACATTCTCCGCTGGCGCGAACCAGGGTGCACTGGGCGGGGAGGTTGTAGTAGATAGGACATCTAGTAAAGTCACATGAATTATATTAATAAAAAATGCCAGTATAAAACCCACTCCAAAAGCATAATCTTTATTCAATCAACAGCTCATTATTGAAATAGTTTACCTCTAACTCTAAAAGTATTTGAACGAAAATATGAGAACTGACAAAATATATATGAATGCCAAGACGATAGATTTTATCGATTAAAAGTTCTGAAATATCATTCTAAATATTGTTCTAAAATATGACAAAATTTTACGAAAGGCCACCATTTGGCTTCTTACCCCTCCTCCTTCTTCCCAACCCCATCTCTATTGATGGTACATCGTGACTTACTTGTTATAGCATTTGTACAGTCCCTTGGAGGCGTCCTCACAAGTACATTCATAGTCACACCCGTCGTCCCACTTCTCGCCCTGTTTGTATTCGTAGCCCTTGTAGAAACAGCTGCCGTCTGAAGCGAAACGTTAAATTATACTCAGGCGTCCATGACACGATTATCAGGGGTTGGTTAAAAATAAAATGGTCAAAATCATCAATGCACCGTTTTTTAATATTTAAATTTACTAAATTATAAGCTAAAAGCATCATAAACATTCTTTCTCATTGACATGTTAGTTTACGTGGCTGGATAATACTGCTTGAAGTTAGTGAGTAATTTGTTTTATGTCAGTTCTACGGTATATGTCGAACGCAATCGATGCATATTTTATTAGGGAGGCTTTTCATTCGGAAAAACCACATATCAAGATAAATTGTAACTTACGGTATCCAACTCCAGTGCCTCCGTTACCTAAAATATGAATGTTTAAGTATATAACACCTATTTTCAAAACTTAATTATTATTTCGTCATACAGCTTTAATTATGAAAATCAAGGAGTATTTCGAACGCTACAAAAGTCTCCCTCAAATGAAAACGGACAGTTGCAGAAGCTTCCCTGACAAGGAGTTAAAATCAGAAAACTTTCTTTCTCTTTTTCACAACTGTATATCTGATAATTACCTCCCGTTTATTGAACAACGGGGAAATGCGAGTAGGAACGAAAAGATAGACTCATCCACTTACCACAATAACCGCAGTATTTAGCGCACTTGTCCTTGGACCAGTCTACATACTTGGTGCATGTATCGTATGCGAAAGAGTTACAGTTGGTCAGTTTATCAACACATGGAGCCGCCGTCGCCTTGTACAATGCTGATAGGATGCAATAAGATATATATTTATTGGGTTATAAATGTTTAAAAGAAAAATGAATAAATATATGAAATACAATGTTAGGAAATGATGAATTAAGACCAAAATATTATATATACCGCCTCTGAAGTGAAAATAGTGAAAAGAACACAAAATGAATAAACTTGTTTCCAAACAAGATTCAAACTTTTAACTTAACGTAATAGGCCTATATGTACAATGTCACGTGAAACAAATTGACCAAGAATTAAACGCGCCTTCACAGGATCGTTCACCATTCATCACTTACGTGTACAATGCCCGCAATACAGTCGGCAGTTATTCTTGGACCACTTCTCGAAATTTTTACAAACGTCCTTGCCGTAGGTCGGACAGTCCACGTTGTCCTTGCAGGTGTCAGGAGGGAAGGTGGCCACACCACCGGTAGTAGCGGCCGCAGCTAATGGTCAGAAAAGGAAACTTTTAAAACAGACCCGGTAGTTGCACGTGCAGTGCTCTCAGAATTTTTCATGGATTGAGTTAGAGGTGCATTATGCATCTAGATAATATGTATAGCCCTTGCTTTTTTGTCGCTTGTAGAATTCACAGTTAGTAAAGTGTATTTGATTATTTGACTTTTTTAAACTGTTTTATGGATGCGGTCTTTATAAAAGGGATTTTCCTTATTTACACAAAAACCAGATAATTTCTAATCAGATAACG